AGCTGCTCTGTAGACAGTGCAGCAGGAAGAAGGTAAGTGAGCACTGTTTTCATTTCTTCAGTCTGAAGAAATGGGAATCAGTTCCCCATAGCAGACGTATCAGTCATGGTGAGCTGCTCATCCCTTTCTGCTTTTTTGCCAGGAACCAGTGAGTGAGACAACTCAGCAAAGTCTCTTTCCAGGGCTTTGCTGGAGTGCCAGGGCTCAAGTGAATGAGCGTGTGACAAACACCTTTATACGCAGGAGCACAGGCCGCATCGGCCTCTGCTGGGGAAGCTACCTCCCTAGAGGTAAACTCCCTCCCTCCAGAGGGGGATTGGGAATGATGCCGTCCAGCCTGTGTGCATTCTTGATTCAAGCTGGGAATGAGGGGTTTGCCTGTGGTCAGTTGTATCTTTGTCTTACCTGCTCCTCACGCGCACACACTCCACTGCACTGAACTACCTTGTTGGTGTTTTAGTTTTTTAGAACAATACAGCCATTAAGTGAAGCCTGTTGGTAGAGATTTGTTCTGCCTTAGAAGTGAGATTCTCTTCTCTTTTGTAAGCTCCCAGATGAGTCTTAATATAATTACTTTTGATCATATGATAGCAGGTTAATTTCTCTTCTGTAAGCAAAACAAAGAGGAACTTCATGTTCCAGGGTGACCAGACCCTTTTGGACCTGAGCAGTTCTGGTTGCAGCTAGTTATCATACTCAGTTCTCAAGCAGCAGTGTGATGAGAAAGGCAAATCTTTTTTTCTATCTCTAGCTTTTTCTTCTGTCAGATAGTTTGTCTTTCATGCTGAATCTCCCTCAAGGTATTAAGCTTTACACTCAGTTCTCCATAAATACCGTCTGGTTATTCTTCACAAACCCATCTTTTCTTACTGGAGACTGATGCAAAATCAAATGCATGGGGAAGTTTGTCCATGTTTCCATCTGGCATGGTAAGAGTCCTTAGCCTGACAGAAGGTATGTCTGGTGCTGGAGATGAAGGACCCAGGTGTAAGACTGAGATCCTCATCAGCAGGAGGGTGCTGACTTTGAACTTCAGATCCGATGCACTCCTGAAGAAAGACTGGAGGGTGGATGGGTACCCATCCTTTCTTTTCTGGCTTGTTTTGTGCCATGGCTTGTAAGCATTCACGCATCTATGTGAATTGGAGATTTCTTTCTCTTTAACTTTGCATATTAAGGTACAGACTGTACTGGGCACAGTCCTGGGCAACCTGTTGTAGCTGACTCAGCTTGAGCAGGGGCTTGGGCTAGATGATACCAAGAGGTCTGTTGCAATCTAAACAGTTCTGTGATTCGTGTGCTGTGAATGAAGCCATGATCTAGTGGGATTTTTGACATGGAGATAAAATTTTCTGTTATTGCAGTGCCACAATTCTGAGTTTGTGAGGTAAACAAGGCTGTGCTGCCTCAAACAAAAGTAAATCTGTGGCTAATACAAGACAGGGACTGTGCAAGGGAAGCTGGAGGCCTGAACACAATACAGCTGTGTTTAGTGGAATGCTTTTGAAGAGAGGACAGTGTTACTCTTAAAGCTTGAGAAGAGTAAAGGGAGAGAGCATTTATCTCCAACTAGTCAGAGCATTAGTCTTTGATTCCCTATATCTTTATGGTTTCTGGAAAGTCTTTTTATCCATACAGACAGATAGTCCTTTTTTTGATCTTCTATTAGTATTTGCCTGAGTGGTATATTACAGCGAGGAGTTTCATATGTAAAATTTGAACTCTGCAAGATGAATGGTTAGTCTGCTATGAACGATGGTTCTCTGTTAGGGAACATGGGAGCTAGGGTCTCATACATAGAAGCTTGGGAGACTTCAATTCCCACAACCAGGGTATAATTTGTGGAAGGATTTACTAATAAAAAGAGAATGTAACAATACTAAAATAGAAGACCTTCCTATATGACAAATGGGGGGAAATGATGATGTCTCTGAAAGATGTGAAGACCAAGCAGGAGGGTTTTTGCATGTATGTAACCAACACAGAATCAGACATGAGAGGACTTCTGAAAGATAGTGCAGGTCATGGGACACAAGAGGCAATGTGACTTCTGAGTCTTATGCATGAGTGAAGTAAACAGATTATAAAATGCACAACTGCTGGATTTTATGGCTTTTTATGGTTAGCCTGTGATGTATATTATGAAAATATTCTAATTTCTGAGGGTATTGTCTAGAACAAGGGTATAATAAACCAGTGGGAATAATGGGAGAAACCAAGTCTGAATGTTGGGAGAAATGTGTGACTGGTATGTTCTTCTGAAGGAAAAGGTGGGGTCAGGAAGAGTGGCTCAGTAGGTGTCTCTAATTGCCTTCATTCTGAAAAGCACTTGATATATTGCTCATAAAAATCATAGTTGATTCTAGAAGAGCGAGTGGGTACTTTTCCATGGCTGGCATGAGGAGGATGATTAGCAAGACTGCGGGAGCTCCTTTTTTTCCATGAAGCCTTTCGTATTGTCTTATCGCTTTAATTTCTTTGGGATATACTATGGGACCAAATCCAGACTCAGTATCTTCTTGTTTGAAAGAGACTTCTCTCACAGGTGCTCTGAACAAAGCTTCTAGAGAAGTGTTTGAGGCAACTCACAGGGGATTAGTCTTGGGCTGCCTATGGGACTGGGGAGGACTTAGCAGAGGAGAGTTATCCATATGTGTCTAGGGGCTAGCAAAATTGCACTTGTACAGGGAGGAGTGAATATTTTGGAAGCCAGTAGACACTAAGACCTTCAATATGTCAATCATTGACTCAAATCCAACTCCTATCTTAAGCATCCCAAGCCAGTGACATTGTACAGCAGCTCTTTGACCTGCATGTGCTAGATGTCGTTGCCTCTTTTGGAAGCAGCGCCATGCCATGTATTGACATGTACATAATACAAAAACTGGAGCTGATTGGTTTCCCATGCAGAGCTGTTAAACCTCACTGAAAGCCCTGCCATGTCCAAATGAAGGGTTTTTGTGGGAATGAGCCACAGACTAAGGTCAGTACCTCTTGAATTAGAACTGGAGCCTTAATTTTTGTAATGAAGACAGGACTGCTGTCTGTCTGAACAGCAGCTAGCACAATGGCACCTCAGTGTCAGCTGTTCCCTCTATGAACTACCATGGCACAAACAAGGTATTATACCTGTTGTGGCACAACTAGAAGTCTGTTAATTTGACAATGTTGCTCAGTGCCAGCTGCCTTTATTAAATGACGCATGTGTGTGAACACGCACAAGAAAATTGTAGTTGCAGTGGGAAAAACAACCCCCTGCATTTACTTCAAGAATATCAGCAATGGGGATAAATCTGTGCCGCTTTCCCAATTCATCATTTGGCAGTTGGGAAAGTAGTTTAAAGACTAGCAAGGAAGGAAAATATTTTCTGATTTCTTAAAGGGCAATGTAAATATAGAAGAGCAAAAGGTAGCTTTAAAAAAGGAGGAAAAAAGATGGCAACAGGCTTTTGGGGAAACAAAACTCCAAACACAGTCCTGGAGGATGGTTACAGAATAGGTGTGTTGACTTAATAGCAGTTGAATTCAGTATCAGTCAGAATTTCTCCACTATTCCTGTTTCTTTGCATCAGCTGTATGTGTCTTTCATAGGTGCCTAGTTAAGTGTAGTTGCTCTTTTGGCTCTCTGGGAGGCTGAAACACTCAAGGACGTTTCCCTAGGAACAGTGGTGGCGGTGAAATGCAACCATATCAATGTAATGGTTGCATGCTGCCTCATCTTCTGTAAAAGTCAAACAGCACATCAGACGCTTTGAAAATGGAAACACAGCATGTAATCTTTTGAAACCTATTGCCACTAGATTCTGTTGTGGGCAAGTAACTTGTGAGACTCAGCTAAGAAGGCAATGCTTGTTATTCTAGATAATAAAGTCTAAGGAAAGGCTTTAATAAAGCTCATTTTGCAATGATGTCTCTTGTGAAGGTTTCTTTCAAAGTATTGCATTTTCCTTTGACTCATTTGGTTTTGGCCATTGGCAGATACACATACTGAGCTGCACAGCTCAGAGGTTTGATCTAATAACTTCAGGTATGCTCTATGCAGCAGAACAAATGTCACTTTAGGAACAGAGTAGGTAAGGTTTCTTCTGTGTAGGAAACTCAGTAGCAGTGGGATCTATCTGACCTACAAAAGCTTCGTTTCAGATCTGTCAGCCCCTCTCAAGAGGCAACTACCAAGTTTGTTCAGTGTTATTACATGTTTAGAATAAGTGAGTATTTGGGTATACAGCAGGGGGTTTGGTCAAGTCCATTGGCTGACCCAGAGCAAGTGTTCCTGAAAATTCCTGACAGACAAAATATGTGAATTGTCATTACTCTTGGAGAATTTAAGGGTGTTCAGTGGTACTGTAAGACTCTGTGCTGGTGGGGACAGCATAATGTTATTGTTTGCATTTCTGTGAAATCCTGTTTCTTTTATTTCTGTTACATTCTTCGTGGTTGTCCTGTAGGAAAGCAAGATGAATCTGTTCTTTGACTTGTGTGCACATGCATCTTCAAAGGGGATGTGTGGGTACATATATAGGATGGCTAAAGTTAACATGCCACTTCCATTTGTGGGTGCCTTGCAAGATGATAGTGCTGTTGACAGGTTATGTCTTTGTTTTAGTGGTGGATTTTGGAGATTCAGTTGTCCATGAGATGTGGTAGGCCATGATGTTTATAAGCTGTGTGTCTGGGGAGCTAAGGGCAGGGTATGTTTGTTGTGCTTGGGGAAGAGTTGGGTGTGGGGGAACAGA